TTCTTGTATGGAAAAAGTTTCATAGTCCAATGGAAGTGGATATACCTTTAAGTTTTCAAATGTTAGACAAATTTGTTTCAGCTTGATCGATATTTTTGAAAGTTATGCAGTTCTTTTTTTTCATAGGAAGAAGTTATGTAGTTCGTTGGAAGCAAACATATCTTTAAGTTTTCAAATGTTAACATATCTGTTTCAGCTTAGGTTAGATTGGATTAACATTTTTGGGGGAGCACTGGACTACACTGGTCAAAAACTAAGATATTTAGTAATAGTTAAGTTTTATGTTTGGTTTGCTGAAGATTTTGGGAGAGGGGTGGGGTGGTTCCTGAGGTTTCTCAAGAAGTACCTCCACATCGTATAGTGCTACTACAGGAGAAAGCATGGTACCTACCAAAACATGTCCATTACTCATTTCAAATATACTGTCCAGAACTTGAAAGCCAAAGTTGGAATTTGTCAAACTGAACTTGGTCAAACAAACTAGAGAATGAGATTTTCCATAAAAAAAACCATAAAAATGTAGACAGATACAACTTTTAATTACCTTCTGAGATGCAATTACTTAATCAGATAGTTCATCGCCCCAACAAGGCGACACGATCCTTTAGTACTGCTTGTGACAGATTGATGTCAAAAAGCTCACACCGAATTGGCATCTCCATTTCATAAAAGGGATTCTTCAAAACATAATCAGTGTATAGTTCATAGATATGTTTCAAGAGACCGTCCATATGCTGAGTTCCAGGCTCACAAACAACAAAAAATTTCGTCCCTACAAGCAAATAATAATTTCAACATTTAGTTTATGCTCTGAGAACTGAACACTAGAATTCATCTTCAGGGAAATTGGAATTAATTCAAAAAACTTGAATCAACTGAACTCGTAAAGGGAAAGCTCCATTCAATGCAAAGACCACCAATTCTAATTAAACACAAACTACATCGATCCAAAGTAGAAAATAACTAATTGCATAACAAAGGACAATAAACCAACTAAAGAACTTTCATGTTAATCCATGTTCGAAATATTGAATTGACAGGTGAACACAACTAAAGATTTATAGCCTTGCCAATGTTAGTTACAATACTGCAAACCATGTTTAATATGACACTGTTTTTCAAGTTAAACTCACAATTATAAGTTTTAGAAGCAATACAAACAGCTCTAGTTGAGAAAAAAATATATTAAAATCCCTGCCATTTTGCAAAATACAAAAAGTAGACTCTGAAAGTGAAAAGTAACAGTGCTGTATAGAAAAGCTTCTTTACTCTTTAATTGGGGCTCACACCAGAAGTTCTCCTCCCCTCTTTCCCCCCTTTTCACCTAAATATCCTACATGCATGTCAACAGCCACCACATGTAGAGGACATGATGTTAAATGACCAGACAACCGTATGGTGGTGCAACTTGCAGGACATCAAATGCCCCACAACGTGAAAGTTAGGGACATATTCTAGCACTTACACTTGATCATAAACTGTGGGTTAGAATTCATCAGAGGAAGGAAAATGATGATTCTGGTTGGAAGAGAAGAAGATATGATTCATCAAATTATATCATAGCATTGGTCCTCATAGCACATAAGTACGAAGGGGCAAGAGAATAGCAGCAGGCAGACAAATGATGCATTGATACACTACTTTTTACTCTATATATGCCCTTCAAAACAGCAATCAAATCATGGATTTTAATAAGGTCGTGACCCTATAATCAAACTTTAGACACAAGAACTGAGATTACAAAGGGGCAAGAGAATAGCAGCAGGCAGACGAATGATGCATTGATACACTACTTTTTACTCTATATATGCCCTTCAAAACAGCAATCAAATCATGGATTTTAATAAGGTCGTGACCCTATAATCAAACTTTAGACACAATAACTGAGATTCCATCGCAAAATAACAGTAAAAAATATGGAAATTAAATGAAAAGAAAGCTCTTGATAAAAAAAAATGAAAAGAAAGCTAAAAAACAAATTGTCATACTGAATTGAAACTCACAGCGACTCCATATCCAAAATATAAACGAATGCCATGTCATTTTTCGATGCGCCTCATCGTAATATATCCTCTTGCCATAATCTTAAGGCAATTTTAACCTTAAAAGCATGTAAGGCCATCATTTTGGAAGGGATCGACGAAGCCTAATGACACATCTATCTCTGTCAAACAATTTCTCATGATTCTACTTTTAGATAGCACTTGAATGAATCAGACCATGTTCGAAACTTGATTGGGTAAATCATGCTCAAGATACCAATCAAAATCAATATTCCAGATTCTTGTTATGAAATCTCTGAATCTTCTTTTCTTCGCTTGCACACATTAAGCTAGCTCCAACATAGAGCATGTGGCATGGAGTTCATATCTAGTAATAGAGTTTCAAAAATAAATGACATAATGCTGCTCTTTTTTACAATATTTTCTTTCCATGCTTTTTGGGGTAGGTTGGGGGTTGTCTAAAAAAGTATCCAGTAATCTGAAAAGAAGGATCATTCACAGTATTCTTTTAGGTGTACCGACCTACCACAACATATTCAAATTGTGAGTCTGTGACTATCCAAAACTATCAACTTTGTGATTAAAAATTCAAAAATTTACCAATACCATCATTTATACATACATGATATATTGAAGTCACATAGTCACTAACTATATCGCAACAAAAACTAAAGAGAAACCTTGACAAAAGACTCCCAACCTAATTAGCTTTTTTTAGTGGTGCAAAAAAGAGGGAGATGGGGGTATGGCTTGAACCTTAACTATAATTAATGCACAAGCTTGCAGACCATTCATTTTTACATCCTATACCCTGATACATACTTGAGGTCTACACAAGGGCGCAGCTAGGAATAATGTCCTAGGAGGGCACTTAAATTACAAGTTTTAATTAATTCTTGCAATGATGGATTCATATTTTCTTACACAGAAGTAAATTGCTGAGAAATAGAGATGAGTTATGGACAAAGTGTAAACTATTTTACATTCAAATTAAAATTACAATCAAAAAGTCATTAATATGGAAATCAATGTCAATTCAAGAAAGCCATAACACAATAAAAAGCACTAAACATGCAATTACAAATCAATCATCGTTCATATTACGAAAAAAGCACTCCCAATTTTTTCTAACTTTCCCATTCCGTTTCTTGGTCTTGTCTAGTGAGAATAATAATATCAGATTACGATTTTTAAATGTGGAGTTTTTTTGAGTCAAAATGTTTACTCATTTTTTGGTGGCATTGTTTTGATGTACTTACAAAATAATTCTGTAATTTCATTACACAATAATCATTATGCAATATCAAAATGATCTGTTAATTTGTTATAACAATAAAAAATGACTTTATAATGTGTCCAAAGCATACGAACGTGTTTAAAGCATCCATAATGTGTTCATAGCATTTATGTACGAGTCTATACAAAATTGATAGGGTGAACACAACAAAATATACTTAAAAAATTCTATATCTTTACATATAATTTACTAACATGGATAACTTTCAAACAAAATATTGAGGGTAGGCAAGGCACAACCAGGCCCCCAACTGCCCATGAGTCTACTGGTATAGAATGAAGGCTTGCTTTGTTGTGCTAGTACTCAGACTTATTAGATCTACACATCCTATCCAATAAGTACTCAGACTTATTAGATCTACACATCCTAACTATAGACCTTGGACTGGTTGATTAATTGAATGCCAGAACTTGCAAGATAGAAAAAGTTTACACCCATCCCAACACAGACTAGAACTATTATACTGTACCTAAAGTATTTTCAATGAATATAAAGAAAAGAAGCTACACATGCCACACTTGTCATACAAATGCAATTAACAACCTCTCTCTCCACACCCCCCCCCCCC